TCCCTAACAAACATCCTAGAATCTTGGGTCATTATCTTCCAAACGGCTCCTTGTATTTCGCTCTTGGTGTAACACTCGCTCCACGTTGTGTAACACCTCAGCCTTTTTCGCTCAACTCAACTTGAGCTCACTCGTGTGTGACACAGTCTCCTGTCTGTGTAACACTCCAGTCATCCAGCTCAGAACCCTGAGCTTACAAGAGTTAGTGTGAGTTGGCTTGACCGTACGTGAGTAAGACCGTTGAACCTTGACTTCTTTCTGTTACAAGGAAGATGACAATAGATTTGGCTGAGTAACCTTCTTGGGCTGAGGTTCAATATTTCCTTCTGTAGTTGGGTCACGTTCTTGGATCAAAGGCCCACTGTTAATACTCCCTCTCAAACTTAGAGTCGGAGGAAGTGTGACACTGAGTTTGGTACGTAACCTGCAGAAAGAATCTTGAGCCAAATGCTTAGTAAAAACATCGGCAATCTGCAGAGTCATAGGAATGTGTTTGACTTCAAGTTTCTTCATAGTTACACGTTTTGTTTGATGAAACACACTTTCCCTATGCTGATGTCTATAGTCAGTACCATAAAGATACTCAGTCAGCATTACTTCAAGCTTGGCGTCTGGTCAACATTAAGTCTCAGCCTCAAGAGTCTGTTCCTAACGAGGTTGTTGAAGAATTCCCTGCTATCAGATATCAGTCTGTTCCTACTGTTCAAATGACTTCACCTCATGTCAACAATGATCAGGTTCCAGACCCGGAAATATCAAGCTCAGACACAGACTCCTCAGCAGATAATGAAGCTGTCAGGTTGCTGCTCCAAGTGTTCCAGTTCAACACTCTATGACCACCAGGTCACGGTCTGGAATTGTCAAGCCTAACCCAAGATATGCTCTCTTCACGGTAAAGGAAAGCTATCCAGAGCCACGAAGTGTCAAAGCTGCCTTGAAAGACCCTGGTTGGAAAGGTGCAATGGGAGTCGAAATAAGCAACATGATTGAAACATGGACATTTGAACTTGTTCCACCTGATCCAAATCAAAGACTTCTCAGCAACGGATGGATATACAAGAAAAAGTTAAACGCAGATGGTACTTTGCTTAAACTAAGAGCACGTTTGTTTGCTAGAGGAAATGAGCAGGAAGAAGGCATTGATTTTCTGGAGACCTTTAGTCTTGTTGTTAGAACAACAATAAGGACTGTTCTTCACATTGATGTTACTAAGAAATGGAAGATACGTCAACTTGATGTACAAAATGCATTTCTACATGGAGATCTCAAAGAAACCGTGTACATGACACAACCTCATGGGTTTGAAGATCCAGATAAACCAGACTATGTGTGGAAATTGAGAAAGGCTATCTATGGGATTAAGCAAGCTCCTCGTGCGTGGTTTGATAAGTTCAGCACCTTCCTTATTGAGTTTGGCTTCGCCTGCAGCTTTCCAGACCCATCCTTGTTTGTATATCATCATGGATCCAGTGTCATCTACTTGCTACTATATGTGGATGATATGATACTCACTGGTAATATGGGTGAAATTCACTATTTCTTGGGGATACAAGTACATCAACATCAAGGTGGCTTGTTTATGAATCAAGCTAAGTATGCTACTGGTCTTCTTGTTGCTGCAGGTATGAAGGATTGTGCTCCAATGCCAACACCTTTGCCGATGAAGTTGGATACTCTGCTAGGTCATGATGAGGTTTTTGAGGAACCAACATACTTTCGTAGCTTAGCCGGCAAGCTTCAGTACCTTACCCTAACCAGACCTGATCTTCAATATTCTGTTAACTACATATGCCAGAAGATGCATCAACCAAGTGTTTCAGATTTTCACCTCCTAAAGCGTATACTACGGTATGTGAAAGGGACGATAGATTATGGTATTGACATAAAGGCTGAGACATTCAACGCTCCTGTGTTACAGTGATAGTGACTGGGCCGGTTGCAAAGAGACTAGGAGATCTACTGGAGGTTTCTGCACGTTTTTGGGTTCTAACTTGATCTCATGGTCTGCTAAACGTCATGAAACAGTTTCTAAGTCTTCCACAAAGGCCCACTGTTAATAGTGGGTTAGGTAAATGGCAATAGGGTAAAAGTAAGAATGTGTTAATTGCCTCTAAATAAAGTATCTGTTTGTTTGATTTGGATTATAAATGTCATTTGGCTATAATATGCTGGTTTGTTATCTGGACAGACTTAAGAATACTAAACTTTAAAATCTCAAACTTAAACTTTAAATTACAGGAGTCCAACAAAATGTAAAGAATGAATGGAATTCCAAAAAAATAGACAACAACAAACACATCCTAATTTCATTTTCGATTTGAACTGGACATTCTGAAATTTTGGAAACTATGACAATGTGTAAAAGTTTGATAAAAAAAATTGTTAACAATTTTGAGGATCTATTTTCATGTACTTAATTTTTTAAATTTTAACGCCATAGTCCAATGTTCTGCTGATCTATACTCATGATCCGTTCTACATTTGTAAGTAAAACTTTATAACAATCAAAATTATGTACAACAAAATCTCTAGAGGCAAGAAAACCCTCAAGCACTCAAAACACAAATTTAGGTTCAAACAAACAGAAGAAGAGCAAGCTTCTTTTTCTGTGTGTGGTGTTGTTCAAACAGCTAATCACAAACAAAGAGGACATCTAATGAGTCCATTCTCATTACAAGCAGGACATGTTTGAAAACCATACTCTCTATCTACCTTCTCACTTCCATTATCTTCATTGTACACTTTGCAACTCCCTGAACATGTCTCACATGGTACAAACCTTATATCTCCACAAGCCTCACATTCTTTCCCATTACCATTTTTATTCTCTCCAACCCTCTCACAACCTTCTAGCATCTTCTCCAGCTTCCCATCTTCATTCAACTTTCGAATCTCCTCTCCTCCACCAAGATACTTCTTCCCCAAGAAAACCATAGGTAAAGTGATCCCAACACCATTGTTGAATTTACCATCTAGTAGCTCCTTGAGCTCGTCTTTAAAACTCGAATGCATCGATACATCTCGCTCATCGACTCTAACACCAAGGCCTTTTAGTATAGTTCTAACGTCACAGCTATCTTCATATGTCTTCCTTATACCTCTAAGGCTTGTAAAGTAGAGTATCACATTACCATTCTCCTTGTGACGTTTACAATCACCATGAAGAGCAACATCAACCGAGAAGCTCCTAACGTGATTAGATGATCGAAGAGGGCTAATGGAGTCTTCAAGCCCATCCATCATCTCCCATGTGTTGATCGTTTCTGGTTCTCCAGGAGGCGTCAAGATAGGAGTTTTTGGAACAATCTTGGGGATCTTCTCGTTCATCATACTTGACCATACTTTAGCTTCCATAAGCTTAGCTTGCATTTCCTTGTCTCTGTCTTCTTTGTTACCAAACTCATCTCCTTGTCGGTTCTCTCCGGATTGGTCGGTGGCAAGGTTACCGGTGATATTCGCCAAGTGTATGCGGCTATGTCCGAAAGAGGAGTAGCTGAGCTTGAGAGATCCGAGGGTTGAGGAATTTAGAGCCACCATGTCGTCGGTTTGTTGCGGTGGGTGGTGCACCGAGTGGGTACGTGGCATCTCCACCGGAGAATATCCTTGCCGGCAGTGGAGGCAACGTTTACGGTGCTTCGAGCTCGCACAGCCCATAATGAAAAACAGAGGATTTGACCAAAACAGAGGATTGGATCAAAACAGAGGAAAATGAATAAAAAAACAATACTAGAAAGAAAATGAAGACAATCAAATGATGTATCAAAGCAAGGAGAATAAAGAAAGAATGGTTCTTGGAAAAAAAAAGAAGAAAAATCAAGAACTTGTCTCAGAATGGTTTTGATTATTTATAAGGTGTACAGAAACCTTTTTTTTTGCCATTTGATAGTACTTCTCTGCATGGACTCCTCTTCCTCCTGCCAGTCGTTTCCTTGGAGGAGGGTTTCTTTTACCTTTTTCAGATTTTACTTAAATTAGGAACAATTTCTACCGGTTTTAGAAAGAGTTTAAAATTCTTTTTAATACGTTCACTTGTCATATCTTTTAGATATTCCCACATTCACCTTTATATTACCAAATTTCCATGGATAATATTGTTTTCTTATGACCTCTTCAGCTTTACATTAAAATAGTTTGCAAATTACTAAAACCCCAAAAAATTAATTGAGTTTTGTATAGTATAATAAGAAACATAAATAGGAAACCTTAGATTTACTTTTGCATTAGTAGAATATTCCATGTAAGAAAATATTGTCGTGGGTAGCTGCCCCTCCCACAAATAACATATAGCTTCACCACTAGTCATGAATGATGACATGTATCACAAACACAATGTGTGTGAGAGCCTGAGAGGCAGCTGCGCCCAACCGTTTGTTGTAAATAATTTCCTAGTTTGTTTTATATAAAAGAGTAGTTTGAACTTGTCAAAACTGAAACAATAATGAGAATACTCTAAACCATGACATCCAATCTGGTAGGAGCACAATTGGAATGTTTTTACTCGCTGTTTCATTTCAAGTTACATGCTATCATCATAGGATAAACACTGATTACTGCTAGTCAGAAATGTTGTAACATGCAAGCGCATGCTGATTATGATGAATAAGTCAAGGGTTTGACTTAACAGTTAAATTAATCAATTATATTACGAAATTTATATCTATTATTAACAGTTGAATTAATCAATTATATAACGAAACTTATATTATATTTTGACTTTCTAAATATAGATTGAAGAGAAACGCGGACAGTAACATAAATTCATAATATTATTTTTTTTTGGGTGAACAACATAAATTCATAATTGCCGTCAAAAGAAAATAAAACATTAGATAACTCTTATGCTATTTTCTAGCGACCTTAAACTAATCCACAAATTTCTCCTTTCCACGTAAAACAGTTTTTTCAACGCATATATATAAACTTATCTTAGAAACTAAACCCATCAGAAATTTTTAAAAAACAAAAAACAAAAAACTATATACATTTAAAGTAAAAAATAAAAGAATAAGAAAATGGGTAATAAAAACGTACTAGCATTATATCTGATGTTTCTAGTAGCATCAAGTGTGGTGTACGAGGCGCAAGGAACGTTCTTGCTAAAGTTGTACTTGAGGAGGAAATTTTCACGAAGGGCAAGGGACTTTACACCATTCGCATGCAAAGGTATGCTATTTTTTATCAAGAGACTTCGAGGTGGGTGTCCCGCGACTAGAGAGTTCAAGAAATTCTTTTCACTCTTCACGTCTTACGTGACATTCATCAGCAATGCCTCAGCCACATCGAAAAGCACAGATACACAGATCACATCCCAAGTTGACGGTTTAGCCAATGCTATGTCTGAATTAACTGCTGTTAAAGGCAGAGCACCAGTGAGTACCTATACCGGCTGTAACGTTCTTATAATTAACATTTATATTAGGGATAGATATTAAACATCGAGAATTCAAGTGAATATTAAATAATAATATATAAAAGATAAATGCCAATCCATTTATCACCAAATAATTTTAGTTGAAATCCCATAACAAATCCGAATTTAACATGATATTAGAACCTAGATCCTAAAAAACCTTAAACTCCTAATTAATTAATTAATCCTTATGACCGAATATAAATATCTTAAAAATTTCAAGATTTCTAGTCGATAAGAGCCATCATCTCGAAAAGAGATATTAGGGTTATATATTCTACATCTGAAATTCAATAGGACATTAAATCATATATAAAAAGTAAACGACAATCCACTTATCACCAATTGATTTTAAATTGGAATCCCATAATAACTCCCAAGTTTAACAATTTATTTAGGTTATGTTTTTGTTAGAATGAGTGAAGTGGCACATCAGTACATCAAGTCACTTACCGTCATTAAATTTTAAGTTAAACTCCAATTTTACAATGTTTTACTGATTTTTTTTGAACAGTCGAACACGGATTTTAAAGACGCAATGCTGTCAATGGGAAAAACTTTAGTTGAGCAGAAGAAAAGTGGTTCACAGCAAATGACACTTCAGCAAAGCAAAGAGTTGATCGTGGCTATGGTGCATTGGACTAAAACGATCGCTACATTAGTGAAAACTGCTGTGGACTTGAGAGTAGGAAAGTCGATGGATATATCGAACCTAGGGCTTGACGTTGATGTTAACTCCATTGTTGGAAATGAGAGTGAAGTAAACCAAACTGGTTCTTCAAACACCAAAACCGGAGACCAAAGCAGCGTTGACACTTCCAGTGGAAATGTCACAACCGGAAGTGCCACAACCACCAGATCAGAAAGCAATACTAAAACAGGAACAACCAGTCAAATTGGTGTAAGCACCGAAACTGGTTCTTCAAACCTTAAAAACGGAACTCAAAACAACGGTTCATCACCGTAAGTCAGCCTCGTCGGCTAAATTGGAAAATCTTTGTCAAAGAAGTGTTGCGTTTAGAAAGTCCTCGGTTTCTCTTAGATAATCTCTTATATTGTATATTATCTGAGAACCATTACAACAAGTGAGTTATGCTATATATCATCACTAAAAATGATTTTCACATGTCATTAAAAAATATATGTTGATCTATCTAAACACATATTATACTTCTCATTAAATTAATTACTAATCTACACAAATATTGTTTATTCTTTTTCTTAAACAAAAAAATACAAAATTACTTAATATGATTAAATTATATAATCTTTGTTAAGGAAAATATATGATTTCGGATAAGAAAGCTTTGATGACAACTTGATTATCTTCTATCATTTTGTTAATTTTTTTATTATGAAAAATTAAACAATTAAATCATCTAATAAACATTTAAATTTTTCCGTGCATGTTATTTTTTAAATTATTTAAATGATTATTAATTACTAGAATCTTATATTGAAAATTTTGTGATAAATGATTTTTTTTTTGTTATAAAAAGATACAAATAATCATCAACCCATATGAGTAAGAAGTTTCATCTAACTGATATTCAAATAAGTGTATATATATATAAATATCGCTTAAATTCAACTATATGCCATATAAAAATACATAAATAATTTAATTTCGTAATTTTAGAAACGTGTATCATACTTGGATTGGGAAAACATTACATTTTTTACAATTGTAATTTAATCAAATTATGAAAATATAATTTTGCATATCTTTGTTAATATTTTTTAAAAATATTTATCCAACAAATATTTTACTCCGTGCATTTCATAAAATATAAATAAACCTCTCTTACCATTTGGTCAGTAATTTTTCGCATTTGATCCTCCTTCCTTGGAGGAGGATTCCTTTTCCCGATAATATTTTTCTTTATATCAGACTAGTGGTATTCCGACGCTACGCGCCGGGTTCTTATGTTTTACTTTTAAATGAGTTCAAAATTTTTTGTAACCATAAAATTATCAATATCTATAGATAAATTCTTACATCATATGTGGGTTCTTTTAACTGATTTGAATATTGTTGTTGGGAGATATTACATGTTGATGGTCGATACAAATTTCTAGCAAACATAGATTGAGTTATGGTGGTTTGTTCTTTTAGTGGTTAGTGATAAATATTGTTTTGATTTTCCTTAATGTAAGAGCAAATTGCATGTGAATTTTGAAGTTTAAATTATCGGAGGTTTAAGGTGACTGATAAATGAATGATAGGACACGAAAACATATTTATTTATTTGGGCTAAGTTTGACTTATTGTCCGTTTCAAGTTGAATGTGATGAATGTAATATACACTGTAGTTATTTTGTTGATTTACTATATATGTTCCCAAATATTGATTTCCATGTAACTATTGTTTTTGTTGTGAATCATTTCTTTATCTATTGACGTGTTTTTTTGTTTTTGTCATATATGTTTTTGTATTTGGTGTAATGTTATATGAGATTAGTTTAGGATGAGACAATTTTTTTGGACGTTATGCATCTATTTTATTAAAGAGACGTACAGAAAAAATACCACTAAAACTTATAACTTTTTTACAAATCAATATCACTGAAATATTAAATAATCCTAAATTTAAATAATCTTGTATTCTATATGATTTCATAAAATAAATATTAATTTATATTTAAAAAACATACACGGGTGCGTGGATCAAATTAGTTTCAATTAAATGACCATTGATGTATAATAATTTATTAATTAGGTTTTGTTTTTAAAACTATGTTGTATTTTCTAACTAGGATCGGCCCGTCCTACGGAGGGGATATAATTTACTTGTGATTTAGTTTATAATTTTTGTATGATTTTATGGTTTGTATTTTAGGTTTGCGTTTGTAAGAAATGTGTATGATACACTTCAAAAAAATTCATATTATATCACATAAATAGTATCAGAAAAATAAATGATATCAATTTGAAATACTTATTAATAGATGATACAAAATATGTGTTTCTATCAAGAAAAAATTGAGGAAGAGTATATGATTCATATTCTTTAGGAATGGTTGGACGGATTTGTTAGCGAGAAAAGCAAAAACTAGAGGTTATATTTTAATATATATACAAACTAATTATAATTTTTCAATTTTTTTGGTACGGTCTCTAATAATCCGTTCGGATAGGATAGCATTTTGGACGATCAAACATACGTATTAAACTAACCATCTCCAATGGTTTACACTATTTTTTTTCTAAAATAGAGTAACACTAAAATGAAGTTGGTTGTTTACTCCAATGGAACTCTATTTTAGAGTTGAAAATAGAGTGGTGAACAAAAAAAAAAACAAGTTACTCTATATTTGATGTAAACCTATTTTTTACTCTATTATAGAGTGAAAAATAGAGTACCATTAAAGTAAATTTACTCTAAACTCTATTTTAGTGTTGAAAATAGAGTGGTGACAGAGATGTCCTGACAAACCATTAACTTTCGAATGATCAACACCAAAGCCAAAACATTCAGATGGCTTAAGCCTTTTTCAAAAATTAAAGTTCAAATCATAATGTCTTAGGCTTGACAAAAAAAATGCCAAAAAGAAAATATAACGTTTTAAGCGAGCTAGGCAAGAAAATCAAGATTTTGATGATAGAGAACCAATAAAACCATAGATTAAGAAATCAGAAAGATGGAGAGAAGTCATGTCCATTTCTCCTTTTGTTTCTGCTGTCTTTATATCGAAAACAACAACAACAATAATGCACCAAGGAAAACAGAAACAGAGAAACATAATGTTTTTGAAAATTTTCCGCCATCGTCCTAGCTTTCATGTTTTACAGAGATGGGGTAGAAGAAGAGGAGTTCATCAGTGTGGTCGGGCCAAGAGGATCCTTTCCATCGCAGTTCTTGTTGCTGTTATCACCAAGGATATGGAAGGAAACAAAATTACAGCTATCAAATGGTATTCCCATCTAGTCATATCTTTACAGACCCTAAACCTACTAAGCCAGTATCTAAAATCTGGGGGTTTACGTACTTGTAATGTGCAAAAGAAGACTTACATACCAAGTTATGGCACTTTGCATCAATCTGGCTAATCTGTTTCAGTTTCATTCAAGCTTGAGACTTTGACTGAATCCAATAGCTCACTAGGGATTGGCGTTTCCATTCCTCCCATGTCAAGAATGACCGGAACAGATGCTCTCTTCACAACCTGCAACACATCCACCACCAACCTAAGTTACTTGGAAATTTCTACTAAACATAATGTTCCATTTGTGATCTCATGATGATGATTCAAATAGTATATGATCAATCTACATTCCACTTCCACATGCTACATCTTTTCCACGACACCATTGCTTTATCTAAACCTAAAGATGCATCCTTTGAATGACATTAAGATGGGAATCGAATAAATTTAGAAACTTGATACGAATCTTACCAACTTGAATTCCTCACGATCTCAGGCTCATCATCGCTCATCTTCTTAGGCCAGCCTCTCATATTAGCAACACCTACGATAAGATCGAGTTCTGTCCGTCCATTTCACAAAGAATCGATCAGAGGATAAGCTTCACTATAGGTTCGCTATGATTCCTTTGATAAAATAATTTTACCATGGCACTCTTAAACATTCGAAAATGACATACATCTAAGGCTACACTTTTGTGTTAAAAAATATATTCAAACTCAGACCCGAAATAACAATCAGTTCCTAATCTTATGTTTCAGTCCAACAGGAACATAACATGAACATGATACAAAATGAAATACAAATTAGTTGGACACCTCTATAACAAAAAAAACAAACGGAATGAGATTGATCTCGTCAAAACTCGTAAAGACCCCAAGATGACATACATCTGATGACTAATATAAAACCAGGCACGAATCGTTAATTAACAATCAGTTTCTAATCTTAAGCTCTATTCAATTGGAATCATAACATAAAGATGGAACAATTGGAATACAAATTAGTTGGGCACCTCTAACAAAACGAAAACAGAATCAGATCAATAAATGAATCTCCAAAACTGATGAACAATACTCAATGTTTTTTTATTCAAAAGACTGATTCAAGGTTTTTGCCCCTTTACACCGATCAGAACTAAGGTTTCAATTTTAATTCGATGTTGACCTAGATTATCTTGTACGCTCTAATAGATAATTATATAGGGATCACGCTACACTTTTCTTTTTAAAAAATTATTCGGATTCACAGAAATAAAAACCTTAGTTTCTGAACAAATAACTTAGAAAAACAGAATCATAACGTAAAGAGGTTTTGAATTAAGCAAATAAAAGTTAATCAAGATATGAATCTTACATTCCCATCGATAAGTAGCAGATCGATGAACTACATCTCGACCCCACGCCTCATACGTCGTGCCTCTCAGAACTGGAGGGCTCGTGCCTGAACAACGGATGAGCTCCTATGAGCTCCTCCTGATCTTCAAGTCGGAGAAAAAGACATTGGAATAAGCCATTCTGAAATCTAAGGATTGAACGAAAGAATCTAAAGGAGAGGACTTACATGCATTTATAATCCTGAGAACATTGATGTGGCCATAGTCGAATCATTTACTGGCCGTTTGTAATTTGAGGTGCAGAAGACAACCAAGAGACACCGTTGGAAAGACAACACTTTTTGTCACGAGTAAAACGAAACCGGGCCAGTAAATTTGATAAAAGGCCCAAAAGTAAGGGAAATAACACACAAACATTGCAGGTCCAATTCGAGTCTATCCTACGTGGACATAATGACGTGGCCACCTACGTGGCACCTTTGAGAGGGAGAGAAACATATGATTATATAATAGATTTATGATGTACTTTGTGTATTTTTGAATCTCTTCCCATATGTAAATCTTAAAAGATTATTAATAACATTTTATAGTTATCTAAAAGAGACAATTGGTGTAATGTACCTAACG